TTCTGAGATGAAGTATTATGTACACTATTTACATTATTCGGACTATTGTCCTCATCTTTGACGCTATATTTATTACAACGTTTCGGTCGTTGCACCCTCCGGCCTTCTTCAGGTGGTTGGAATATCGAACTGAACCCTTTATTTCGCTCACTGGGGACTGCCATGTTTTAATGGATGTCAGTTATCAGTTATCTCCTGTTAATTCCACTCTCCAAGTTCTCCACTGCCTTAATCGGGTATTGAACTCATACTCTTTGGGCCCTGTCACTGGATCTAACCAACGCCTTTATCCACTGTGCCATGTGCCATGTGCCCTTGAGAACATCTGTGTATGAATTTCTGTATGTCTTCTTATTGGTCAGTATATACGAAAAAATAATTTTCCATAAACTAGAAATGGATCTGTAGTAACATTAAGAACAGAAACAGGAAGTTGCCTATTCCATAGCTTAAAACATAATGACACATTTCGGGTTTTGCGCAATAGATTCCACGCATAACTTCCGGTTGAAGTTGATTAAATACTATCCTAAATAAATATGTGTTGACCAATAAGAAATGAGCGCGCCTGGAATAATTTTCAACTTAATCGGACCTCTTTCAACTTCGCTAACAATATAAATAGACCCCTGTCTAAAAGAAAAGAGAAGACTCCTTTTGTGTACCTAGTTAATGTAAGTGTCGTTCCCAGCTTTTTCTTTGGTTATGATTCAAGTCGAGATTCCCATTCTCCCCAGTTTGTTTTTGCCCCACCCCCTTTTTTTCATCTCGACTGGGTCAACTTTCTTCTTTCCATATGGCCGTATTTATTTTATCCTTTCCCTCTCCCTTAGCGAGAGTGACACTTGATTTTGTCTAAAGACAGAATACAGCGGCCTCAATTCTTTGGAGGGTTTGACAGGTCCAACTAACATCAGTTATCTTTATTTTGTTTGTTTTGATATTTTAGTTTGTTTTTGGGTTCATCCCCTCCCCTCTCATTGTATATCATCTACAGATTTTTATATATAGAATTTTATGTTCATTAAATTTGTATGATATGGGGTGTTTTTGTAGGTTTCCTGATAGTATGCAGTATTGTGGTATCTGGAGGATTGATTAATGATGGATGGGTTCTTGTGGTGAATGTGCAAATTGTAACGAGTGACTGGGTCGTGAATCGGATTAGCTAGGAATAAGCCTCAGCTCATTCCTCCCGCCATTTTCGGCCTTATGTCAAATTGTATTTTATACAATAAATCTTGAGATGCCAACAGGAGACACAGAGAGAAGACAGAGAGACGGACGCTTACAACTGTGAATGGATACATCAAAGGCATCTCAGCTTCAACAACCACTACCACTCCACACACCTTTCTCGTCATTTTCACCCCCTTTACTTCTCTCATACATTCAACCTCCTTTTCCTTATTCACAGGACATATTACCAAATTAAACTAGCATCTCTCAAAAACACTTACGTACTTTTACAAACTCTTGTATTCATTGAAATGTAATAAAAAACATTTTATTTAATCTTTACTTAAATACCAACCTTATGCCATCTATGAACATTACTACTGTTTTTTTTTTTCGTTTTTTTCGTACAATACAAAACCACTTAATGTTTTTTAGTTTATATATACTCTGGACTTGATTATTCTTAAAATGTGATTTATCGTGTTTTATTTAATTTACTCATTCATACATCCCTTATAGTGGGCTAATCCTAACAAGGCCCAAATCGAATCCCACAAATAACCCACTATAGATCCTTCACGATTTTGGTAGGTTTTTTAACGGTTATTAAATTAACCGCTGAGTTGAAAAAGATATACACAAGTAACAATTTTTTACACAAACCGTCTGGCCTTCATAAAAATACACTTCTCTCAAAAGAACGTGTACTATAAAAAAACTACCTAGATGATTACTAAATATTTATTCAAGGCTAACATTATAAAAGTAGTAAAAATAAATTTTTATATAAATTTACCTACCCGCGACGGATGTGATACAAGGTGGTGTGTCATACATACTGACCGAGGACAAAAGAAGCATTCTAAAAGGTAAGCAAAGTGCCGAGAAACAAAAAGTGCTGGATTGCTATGTAATATCCACCCTCTTATATGGCAGTGGATGTTGGACAATCACCCCACGGATGAGGAGAAAACTAGAGGCAGCAGAAATGTAGTTCTACCGAACGATACTGAATATTCAATGGATGGAGCGAGTAAGCAACAAGGAAATCTTAAATCTGGGAAAAGGCAACTGAAATTCCTTTGAAACATATTGAGAAAGAAGGGCTTAGAAAACTTAACCCTGACGCAGCATATTGAGAACAATAATGATAAGGCAAGGCAGCGAGCCACTTACCTGACGAATGGTGAATGGATGGCGAAACATAGCAAAGGGAAAAACTGCTAAGAGCTACAAGTGATAGAAAGTTGTGGAGAGCCATGATCTCCTATGTCCTGAGAGGAGACAACATAAGATCAGTTATTTCGGTCACGCTGGTATCAGTATCCACCAACCTTCCCTAGTGAAATGGGGAAAGTTCTATCGCAGGACTGGAATCCCCGAGACAGGTTTCCATAACAGTTTCGAGAAGAGAACAAATATTGCACTTATTGATCTCAGGCCGATTCCACTCTGAATAGATCCGTACTACCCGGCCCAGGGACTGAAATAACAATTATATGTCATCAAATTCACTAACCAACTCTATATAATCTTCTGAGATTCTGGTTAGTGAATTAGAGAAGATTCTTCTCTAAATTTAATCAAACTCAAACAGTATGTAATTCAATATTTTCGTTTACTTTTTTTTTAAAGATTTTTAATTTTAATCCTTGTCGAGCAAGTAAACTCGGATTTACCATTTTAAAAGTGTTTCAGAGTAGCTTTTTTTCTGGCATCGCAAAATAAATAAAAAGTAAAAACTCGGACTAATATCCTCATCTTTGTTATTTTACCTTAGCACGTTTCAGTCGTGCCCTCTAGCCTTCTTCAGGTGCCTGTTGATTCCGATAACCTTCAGGGAATTTCGAACTGAACATTTTTATCTTTTTAATCATTCTAATGAATAATCTAAAAATTATTATCGTTCTGCCGTCCATGAATAATAATAGCAACGAAGACGACGACAGATCGAATGTAAAAAAAGTGTAGCTCTTCATCCCAGAAATTCAAACTGGAAAATTAAAAAAAAAAAACAAAAAAAAAAAACTGCTTTTTAAATGTAAACTTTCTTTTCTTGACTTGAGATTAATAGTAGAGATGAAAGAGAAGTTAACAATAACCTGTTGAGTAAATGTCTGGGAGAAAATCATAGGAAACAATTTTAAAATTCATGAAAGGAAATAAATGTTTTGTTCGAGTAGGAAAAAGTGTCATAACCTCGACTTGTAAGTCGCGAAAAGGTCATAGAGAAAAAAATATTTTCATTTAAAATAGGTAGTGTACCTTAAATAAAATTTGAAATAAATCAACATAAATGTTGGCAATAAAACCCTAGTAATTAAAAAATAATATTTTAACAAAGTTACTAGTAACTAGTTTAAATAAAATAAATGAAATGTGAGCAGTGTCTGTGTGTATCTTCATTTTAATAAAATATTTATTAAAAATATTACGTATTTCAAATAAATATTAATTTTCTAACTTTTCCCTAACTACAAAGACGAAATAACTTTTCCTGAATTACTTTTATTTATTTTTTTTTCCAACAACCGTTGCGTTTGTGTAGTGTGCGAACCTTTACAGAAGAAGACTGACCCGTAACTTGGTATTGTGTAGTAGTATGTGTGATGAAATTTATAAAAGAAATGTAGAAAATCATAGAGAGAGAGAAGGATGGGAGGGAAGCACTTTCACGAAACTTTTTTTTTTTTTTAAATATGAGCTGAAAAAGAGAAAGTCTAACGAAAAATCGTTAAGAAATATAACGCTGATGGCATTCCATATATATATATTTATCTTTTATTCCTGCATTGGTTTTAGATCGTTTCTTATTCGATTTGCGCGGCGGTGGCTGCTGCTGCTGCTGTCAAAGCAAAAAAGGGAAGAAAAAGAAGAAAAGTAAAAAGGTTTTTTTGTCGCGGTTATGTGTCATTTCACTTCGTTCTTCTGAGGTTAAAATTACCCTCCACGCATTTACAGCAAGCTATGGGCGAGCTATACCTTTCTTTTTAAGCCAATCTCTAAACAACAAAAACTTATTCCTGCTAGATTCCACAGTTTTTAAATTTATTAATAATCTAAATAATAATAGTCATCACAGAGTGTGGGCTTTTGGAACCTAACCAGATTCGAATGAAGAAGGAAGAAAGAAAGAAAGAAAGAACCACCTGTTGTTTTTACTACAAGCAATGCAAGAGTTATTCTGTCGGATAGGAATTCCGATCTTTCTTCGAAAAACAGCAATTTGGATCTTTCAAATTAACTTGGATTAAAACATTGCTGTCCTAAATAACTAGAACAAACTTAGCTGTTTTTTTTTTATTTATTTAAAATCAAATCAAATCAAATCCATTCGTCACGACTGTTTTGATTTTTTTTCCCTCGCAGTCACACTTTTGATAAATTTAATCAACCGTAGAGCTTTCATATATATTTGTTTAAATTTAAATTATTTCCATTTAAAATTCAATCACTACAGAAGAATAAGCTATTCAAAATAATTATTGCATTTTTTAAAACTCTAGAGAGAAACCACTATTTTTCACTTACCACACCTGGTGAAAAAAGAAATTGGAAAGTAATGTAACTTAAACTTGTAATTACACTACCTTTAATTAACATTTGAAGAAGATGTTTTGAAACTATGACTGGCTACATACTTTTTACAGATCTTTTGAAACTTTGAATTCAGTTCAAAGATAGATTTGCCATTTTTACGGACCTCCGTTTTTTTCGGGGGAGGTCCGAGAACGAACTTTATAGAAATTCTCTGGATCAGGAATTCTTTGATCCACAAGTCAACAAAGGAGAACTAATTTATTACGATTTATTTTTAAACTATGGGTAAAGACAAAAGTCCTGTCAACGATTCTTCGGCTTCTGGACTAACGAAAGTAAACCACACTACTACACCGTCGTCGAATGAAGGTAATAATGTCCCTCCCCATTTCTGTCCACCTTCTTCTTCCACTAACAATGGCTACCGACGACAATCAAAGATTTCGAGTCGGCAATCTGTCAGTGAATACTTTGACATTTCATGCAAGGTACGTAAGATAAAATTACATGACCTAGAAATATTTATGATTTTTACTTATCTTTGACCTTATGAAAAAAAAAAAAAACAAAAAAAAAAAACATGGTCAGAAGTTCTTATCATTTTTAACTGATTTTTAAATGAACTTTTTATTTCATTGCCTAAAAAAACAAAGTTTTAATTTTTTAAACCTCTTTTACTCTTTTTACATCGCTGCTTTGGCGTTTTAGTTGTTTTTAATATTTTAAAATGAAAAAAAAATCTAATTTTCATAATCAGAATAGATACACTAAGGTTAGAAGTATTTAAATAATAAACCATTACATAAATTTTTTTATTTAACTAATAATAATGACAGAATGGTTGTCACATGAATTGTTTTTTGTAGAAAAGTTGGAAATGCTTATTTTTTTTTTTTTTTTTTTTTTAATGTTTACCGACCGATTTTCAAATTTGTCTCACACGAGTTATTCATTTGTTTTCCGTGTTTTTATTATTATTATTTTTTAAATACGGAAAAAAAAACTCAAGCAGAAATACAGTTTTAATAAAAATACTTTTTAAAACTATCGTTTTTTGGCAAGTGTTTGAAAAAATACAAAAATAAATAAAGTATTTTTTCCGAGTTAATTTTTTTTTAAATTTAGAAATTCTATTAAAAAAAAAAAAAACGTATCTATTTTTTTTTTGTTAGCCCCGCAAGTTAGTGATTAACCTTTTAGTTTTAAAAAAATTATTTTTATAAAAATCTTTTCTTTGTTTTTCTCCCCACGCCACCGAATTAAGATTTTTAAACTGAGATTTAAAAAAAAAAAAAGAAAGTAAAACAGAAAAGTGAAAACTTATCACTAATTCCAAAAATGGCTATTTCTTTTTTTTAAAGTAAAACAAAAACACGCTTCCCATTTTTCCCCAATAATTTAAATTTTGAAATTATTATTTGGTACCTGATTTAACCAGCTTACATTTTTCTACTTTATGTTTTGTTTGTTTGTTGTTTTTATTTTATTTATTTTATTTATTTTTTTTTTTTTGCAATTTCCACATTTTCGTCAAAAAAGGAAAAAGTTAATTTGCCTTTCATTTTAAAACTGGAATCTTTCACATTAAAGACCTCCCCCGTTTTTCTTCTTTTTTTTTTTTACAACATATGCTTTCATATTTTTAAGTGAAAGTGAAAGTAAATAATTTTATTTACTTTTTTTTAAATTGTAAATAAATAGTAATTTTAAATTTTATTTTCATTATTTAGTACTTCAGTAATAATACTTTTACTGTTGGCTGTTGAGTTATTGATTTCCGTTATCATTAAATTTTTGAATTGAAATAAATTTTATTTTTAAGTAAATGTTTTAAATTTTTTCCACAACAAAAAGTTTAAAAACAGATCATTTTTTTAATTTTAATTTTTTTTTAATCCGCATCAGTTTTAAAATGTTATAAATTAGGATTGGAAACATTTAACCTGAATCACAGATTAAAAATAAAAACAAAAAACCCCCCAAAAAAACAAACTATTTGCTGAATTTGAGACAAAAAAAAACAAATAGTGACTTACTTCTTTAATAATTGTTAATGTTTAAACATTTCATAAACGTAAAAACTATTAGGACACTCAACAAAGGTATGTAGTTTAAAATCATCCCAAATGGAATTCGGATTCCCTTCAAGTTGTTTTAAATTTCACTTTGGATTTATTTCACTTTCTTTAAAAATAAACAGAATTAAAACTGTATCTAAATATTTATTTCATATATTCAGACTTTTTTTTTTTCCATCTATTATAAAAGCAGACCATCCTTTTACAACGAACAAGACTGTCTTTTTGTTTACTTTAAATGCTTGCTCTTGCATCCTCGACCCATTGTCTTGTAAAATAATACATAGACCGTTGTATTGAAAAATACTTATTTAATACAATTGTTAAAATTCTAGATTTCAGGGAAAAATTAAATTGCTGTATAAATATTTTTATTATAAATTAAACGTGACTTTTCTTAACATCTATTTTATTAAAATATTAATTGAATAAAATGTTATGTTTTCAGTGACCTTTTCCCCCATTTAGCTTTTCTTTTCATTTTTGTATCTTTTTCCGATTATGAAATTCTACTAAGGATAGAGGTACCCCCACCCAAATCGGCCATATTGACAAATATGTCAAGACAACATTATTAAAAATCCTTTCAAAAATAAAATATACTTTTCTAAAATTTTATTTGAGGAAGATTAACTGATTTAATGTTTAATTAATCTAATTACTTACTTTTAGTTAAAAAATATCTCAGAAAAGAATTTTTTAACATGGAGGTGTTGACAGATTTATAGCTTAATGCTTGATATTTTTAAGTAAAGATCCTATAACTGCAAAAATTACTTAAATACAACATGAACTCCTTTTTTAAACAAGTTTTTAACTAACCAGTAATCTTTCAAATTTAGTTACTATATAGTCACCACTCTTATTTTCTGATAATGTTGTGTATGGACAGCCGTAATTACAAAAATCAGCATGTTTATACATACAAAATTTTTTTAAAATTATTTTTAAAATACTAGGACATACTGAATTGTAATAAGCTTTTCCATTTCTGATTAGTAGATAGTTTTTACTTAACAAAAATAATCACTTAAAACCATTACAAATTAATACAGAATTTTAAAAGATTTAAAATTTTATAAATTATTTTATTAAAAAAAATGAAAACAATTCCTGCAAAAATTAATTAAAAAAAACACTTTTTTTCTTAAGACAATAATGTCAGTAATATATCTTATTCATAAAAGCAATGAAAAGTTTTTCTTATTAAATAATGTCTTCATTTTATTGTGATTCAGAGCAGATTTTCTGTAACTGGGGGTCCAGTTTGACAAAAAAAATTTGATTTCTCCTAGGCCTTGTTCTTATAAGTAATATAAACATTAATTCCTACAAAAATGAATTTCTTGAAATTTCATAAGGAATATCACCAAGAATATCTAAAAAAAAAAAAAAAAAATTTCTAAAATAATTTTATTCATTTGTGGATAAATCCTGAAATGTTTATTAAAATCTGGCAATTATTTGATTTTGCAACAGAGGAGCAAATTTCCCATACTAATTTATGGTTCATGTTGATGCAAGAAAAACAAAATTTTAAATAAAAATTCCGAAGATTCTAAAAAGGATTAAAAAAAGATAATTTAGTAATGAAAAAAATCCTTTGGTCTTTCCTCTTCTTAATAATAACAAAGATTTTGATGAGATAAAACTTTGTTTTTAAATTTTGGGTATTTTTTCATCATGTATGCTCATTTTTTTTTTTTTTTTTTTAGCAAATCTTTGGAGGTACTTAAATAAGGTTTAAGATGGGTAATTATTACATTTTAGGGCTTTAGTGTTAATCAAACCTCCACCAGAACAAATATGATGAGGTCTATTTAATTAGCGATTTTAAAGAAAGTGCTTTTACCCTCCTTTTAGTACAATGTGCAGGTGTTACTTACTTAAGGGATATCTGGTCACAAATTGTTAAGATGCTAACTAGTTTATAACAAAAAAAAAAAAAAAAATGAAAAATATTTCTAGAAAGTGATCAAGAGGAGAGAAAGATCTACAAACTGTAGATGTTCCTGATGCTTAGTGTTTGTTGGTGGGGGGTGCGGTTCAAAATAAATAAGAAAACTTAATTTTCAGTTTCCTCTTTCTTTTTTTTTTTTTCCTTATTTGATTGTTTTTAATTTATTTTTTTCCTTATATCATTTTTTCTTATTTGATTTATTTTTTAAAAAACCTTATATTCTGAAACTTTTCTGTACAGGAAAAGTCTATACATCTCATTCCAGAAAATAAATACTAAAAGAAAGATTCAATGTTTAAAAAAGATTGAAAACTATGAAACAAAGAGAAAAATTTTTATCAAAGACAGTTTTTGCCAGAGAACATTGTCTCATCATCTTCACTTTTGTTTCAGAAATTATTATACGTCCAACAAACACCAATACTAGAAATTAAAAAAAAAGTTAATTTTATGAGAGGATCGGATAAAAAATATATAAAAAAAAAAAAATTTTTTAAATCTAATATTTGATTTCCCCACCCTATCTACTTTTTGTGGCGCTGTAATTGGTAAAACTCTCATGGCTAAAATACAACATTTGTCATACCAAGACAAACTCACCTGGCACTAAGCTCGGGAAATTGAAATTAGTATCAGCTCAAGCCCCAGGGAGCTATCTCCCCAGGCAGTATCTCTCCTTCGGAAGGGTGCTGGGATCAATTCCTGGCATCTGAGGCATCCTCAAAAAGGGAAGTGCCAAGGGTGTTTGAGCAATTTTTGTTCAGCATTTTCAAAATCCTAATTTAAACTCTGACCTTTTTCCGTAACCTTATGTTGTGACATAAGGTATGTGGATAAATACCTACTAAGACAATCCTCCTGGAGTAAAAGGAAAGGATTCAGGTCTTGTCTAGAGCTTATTCTAATTTGTGTTGTTTAGTAATGGCTGTAAAATGGTGGTCTGAGTTGTTGTTGATAAGCAACTACAGTTCAAATGACAGAAACATTTGCTAAAATTAATAATGGTTAAGTTTTGTGACTCAAAACTGACAAGACATGTTTGAGAATAATTTGTAATAAATTTTAAGTTTAAATTGGGAGATCAATAGGATTACCTACATTTGTGAACTATAACACCATGGTAAAACCCAAATTTAGTATTTTGAAATTGTACAAATTTTTTTCACGTACTTGTTAATATACACCAGATTATAGGCATATATTTTTGAAACATTAATATCCATTTTGGATGAAATGATTTCAGCCGTTATAACCTCTCATCCTCAGATGGGTCAAATAACAGGACAGGCTTGACAACCAGCACAACTGAATTCAAAAATCATGAAGACAATGAAAAAAAAAAACTATCTTTGCCATGAATAATCAAGGCACTGCAGAGTTTAATTGATAATATAAATTTCAAGATTAATTTTAATCATCCCCTCCTCCCAAGAAAGGTGATAAAACCACT